GGTTCGCCACTGTTGGTACGCTGAGTTGACAGTACAACACTGTTGGTATGCTGAGCTGACGGTTCGCCACTATTGGTATGCTGAGTTGACAATACAACACCCTTGGTATGCTGAGCTGACGGTTTGCCACTGTTGGTACAACGAGTTAATGGTACAACACCATTGGTACGCCAAGTTGACGGTTTGCCACAGTTGGTACGCTGAGTTGACGGTTCGCCCCCGTTGGTACGCTGAGTTGATGGTATGACACCGTTGGTACACTGAGTTGATGGTACAACACCATCAGTATGCTGAGTTGACGGTTTACTCCCATTGGTATGCTGAGTTGACGGTTCGCCACTGTTGGTATGCTGAGTTGACGGTACGACACCATTGGTTTACCCCCATTGGAACACTGAGTTGACGGTTTGCCCCTGTTGGTATGCTGAGTTGACAGTACGACACCATCGGTACACTGAGTTGACGGTTTACCCCCATTGGTATGCTGAGTTGACGGTTTGTCCCTGTTGGTATGCTGAGTTGACAGTTTGCCACTGTTGGTATGCTAAGTTGACAGTACGACACCATCGGTACACTGAGTTGACGGTTTACCCCCATTGGAACGCTGAGTTCACAGTTCGCCCCCGTTGGTACGCTGAGTTGACAGTATGACCCCGTTGGTACGTTGAGTTGACAGTTTGCCCCCGTTGGTACGCTGAGTTGACGGTTCGCCCCCGTTGGTATGCTGAGTTGACTGTTGAGGTCATTGCATGTGAGTTTTGAGTGCCTTCCAGTCTAAGCGCTTGTCTTCCAGCCCCCATCGGGCAGCGTTCTGTTGTGACCCGTGGAGGTCTCACTGGCTGATTTTCAGAAGTAGATCACCAGGCCTTTCCTCCTAGTCTTCCTTTTGGTCTCCACTGAAACCTGCCCACCATGGCTGACCCTCTTAGTTGAAACGCCTGTGGCATAGCCTTGAGCATCACGGCAGTGTGCAAGGCACCACAGCATGACAGGCTGACAGACAGGGTGGCTGAAATAATCACTAGTTAAAACAATCAGTGATATCACCTAAGATCTTGGGTTTAGGGCTTCTTTTGGGGGGGGGGGAAGAAAAAGAGTGAGAGCAAAGCAGGCCCTCCTGGGCCCAGATCCTTGCTTTGCAACAGTTGAGCAGGCGCAGCTGGCTCTCTGTCGGAGCACACAGGGTTTGTTTTGAAATTTCTTGTTCTTGGTTTCTGTAGGCATTTAAAGGGCTCTGGATGGTGCAAACAGTTTGTGCTTGACTATTAACTTAAAGGTTGTTTGTCCAGACCCACCTAACAGAGCTGCAGAAGAAAGGCCTACATATCTGTTTCCAAGATCAACCAGACAACCCAAACCAAACCCATTCCCACTGAATAGATTCTGACTCATAGCAACCCTACAGCACAGCGTAGAACTGCCTGCAGGGTTTCCAAGGCTGTAATCACCACAGAAGCAGACTGCCGCGTCATTTTCTCGTGGAGCAGCTGGTGGATTCGAGCTCCCGACATTTCAGTTAGCAGCCAGGCATTTAGTCACTGCACCGCCACAGCTCCCTCCCTAAAGATTGCAACCAAGAAAACCCTATGGAGGAGCATAGTTTGCTTGTGTGACACGTGGGGTCGCCATGAGTCAGAATTGACTTGGTGGCAACAAGTTTAGCTTTTCTTTGTTGTCTTATGGGCATCTGAGTTTGGAATCCTTGCTACAGTGTGTGAGGGGGCCTTTTAAGAAAGGGACATGTGGAGTAGGATTTTCTGTGTAGATCAGAGGTCAGATTGCATCATGGTTGGCAGGATTTTTTGTGGGATGTGAAACTGGGGCAGGAGTTAGGCATCGGCGGGGCTGGGAGGAGAGCGGCTCCCTGCCCTGTCCCTGGGCCGCGGTGAGGCGGGCAGGCGGCCGACACTTCGTCCCTCCTCAGGAAGCCCCGTTGTCCTCACGGATGGGAGTGCCCCGGCGTGTTGGATGAGGTCGGCGTGCACACCATGTCATCATGTATCTCTAGCCAGCCCAGCGGTGACCGAGCCGCCCCCCAGGATGTGCTGGGGGGCGGGGGCGGCGGCAGCAGCAGCAGTGAAGGTCAGAAGCCCTGTGAGGCCCTGCAAGGCCTCTCAAGCTTGAGCCTCCGCCTGGGCATGGAGTCCTTCATTGTGGTCACCGACTGTGAGCCAGGCTGTGCCACCGATGGCCAGGAGGTGCCCCTCCATGCCTCCGGGCCCCCAGCCCGGCCCCACCTCTCCAGCCGCAAGCTGTCTCTGCAGGAGCGGCCCCCCGGTGGCCCGGCGGCCGGCGAAGGCCCCGACATGAACGGGCGCTGCATCCACCCATCCCTGCCATACTCCCCCAGCGGGTCTCCACAGTCCTCCCCGCGGCTGCCCCACAGGCCCACGGTGGAATCTCACCACGTCTCCATCACGGGTGTGCAGGTGCGTGAGCTGGCGGGTGCTGGATCGGGGTCCCCAGGTTCTTCTCCGCTCCCACTGGCTTCCTTTAAGCTTGGGGTCCCCGGGGGCAGACCCTGAGACAGGAGTCCAGTGCAGGCATTGATTGGGGCGGGGATCCCAGGAAACACTGGCAGGGGGTTAGGATGGGAGGCAAGGAAGGGATGAAAGTCCACCACGGGGCGTTCTCCAGCTCGTTCTCACTGTGGGCAATTGAGGCACAATCCTTCGGGGGAGCCTGGGGGACAGTGAGGGGAACGGGGAGCTGTTGCTTCATGGGTGCCGTTATTGCTTAACGGGTAATGGTTCGTGGTAATAGAAAGAGTTCTGGAAATAGTGCTGATGGCTGCCCAGTAGTGGGTGTACTTCCCAGCCCTGAACTGTAGGGTAACGACTGTGACAGTGGTAACTTTCGTGTCTGTTTCACCACAGTAAAAATAGCTTTCAAGACAGTTCCTTTCACATGATTGCATTTTTCTAAAGCACAAAGACAAACAAAATCTCTGTAGTTAGGAGTCAGGGTACTAGTCACCTTGGGGAAGCAGAATCCAGTTAGGAGTAGGGATATTGGTTACCCTGGGGAGAGGGCCGTGATGGGGGAGGCCCCCTGAGTGGGCTTTCTGGGGGCTACAAACGTTCTCATTTTTGGTTGGGCGCCTGGTGACATGGCTGCGTTTGCTTTGTGAACAGTTTTGCTCACTGCAAACGTGCACTTCATCCTCCTCGTTCCACTGTCTCCTCAGGACTGTGTGCAGCTGAATCAGTACACGCTGAAGGATGAAATTGGAAAGGTAACTACCCCAGGAGCCAGGCTGGCTCCACGCCCACTTAGGACACCTCAGATACTGTACAGGGAACCCAGCCCAGGTGAGGGAGGAGTCCTTGGGGTCCAGCCGGGGGAGAGGGTTTTGTCGTGGTCTAGATTTTGTTTTGTTTTGTTTTCATCTTAAAATTCAGTGTGTTTCAGCAAAAAGCTTCCAGGGAAATCCTATATCACCATGGTGACAGCTGTATCCTGCCCCATAAGTATTGTTTTTTCCTTTCTGAAGCTGCTTTCCCATCTATTTTTACTTGCATTTCAGCCAATGGGCAGTATCAGTACAGGAGAGGGGCAAAAACTCAAATGCCTGTAGAGGCCAAGTAAGTAATAGAAAAGAATGAGTGTAAGACAGTAGGGAGTAGTGAGGTCTGTGGCAAATTGTTAACATATGGTAACCAGGGCTCCACACAGCCAATTCTTCCGATTTTTTCAAAAGAAGCCCAGAAATCTAGATTTTCACATGAAATATTTCTGTTGTTAAATGTTGGCAAGTAATTCAGACTCTGTCAAAACTTTTGTGAGTCCAGCAAAACACCATTGCAGGCCCAACCTGGCCAATGGGCTGCTGGTTTGCAATTGTATTAGGGTCCTTGTTGTGTAACTCATTAACTTCTGGATAGCATGTCATGGGCATCTCCCTTTATCCAGGGCTCCTATGGCGTGGTCAAGCTGGCCTACAATGAAAACGACAATACCTACTATGTGAGTATCCACACCCCTCGGTCCATGCTGTCCAAAGAAAACATCCCCTTTCTGGGTCACTGTGTGCATTAGGAGGGCAGCGGTGCTCCCGTGTTAAAGACTGGGCAATGGGGAGAAGCCCCATCTGGGCTGCGTGTTTTCCTGTTCCCCGGCACTGAGCCCAGTGTGGCAGGGACACGCAGTACCCTCGTACCTAGGGCTTTGGAGTCAGTCCTGACTCTGCCTGTAACCTTGGGCAAGTGCTGCAACCTCTGAGCCTCAGTTTCCCCACATGTAGATCAGACAGTCGTCCCCACTCACTCATCTCTCCAGTTCACTCATGCTCGATTCAGGGGCAGTGAGCCCCAAGGCTGCTGGTCTCTCGGTTGGGAGGGAGAACCCTGGGAGCACGTATGCAGGTATGGAGGGGCCCTGGGAATCCAGCCTCCACACGTTCCAGTGACTGCTTGATTTCTTCTGGTGACGAGGCACTCACTACGTTGTCCCGAGGAGTGAGACCTGGGAATGGGGAACCCTCCCGTCCACTGTCCTCGCTGCTTTGACCTGGGCACTGGGTTTTTTTTCCGCACAGGCGATGAAGGTGCTGTCAAAGAAGAAGCTGATCCGCCAGGCAGGTTTGCCACGTGAGTTGGGGGCCTAGGGGCTTGGTTTTGGGGCTGGGGCTTGGGGACGACAGGGCAAGGCCCACTGAATGATGCCACCAGAGATGCCCTGGGTGGACCCCTCCACTGCCTCAGCGCTTATCCCTTAAGACAGCAGTGGGCGTCCTGCTGAGGTTCGTTATTCAATTTATTGTAAAATATTTATTAAAGTAACACAGACATCAAGTAAAAATGCCCAGCAGTGGGAAGCAGTCTGGCAGTTCCTCAAAAAGCGAACCATGGGGTTATCATACGACCCAGCAATTCCGCTCCAGATACGTGACCAAGAGAACCGAAGATGTCCATCCACGCGGAAGCTTGTACACGAATGTTCACCACAGCACTGTTCACCACAGCCCAAAGGTGGAAACTGCCCAGTGTCCATCGACGGATGAGCAGACATGGTAGATCCATATAATGGAATGTTATTCTGGGGTCTCATGCTAGGTAAAGTGGAAGGTGAGCAAAAAAGGGGAAGGCCCTCCGTGAGATGGACTGGGACTGGCTGCAGCGGTGGGCTCAAGCACAGCAGCGACGGTGAGGACGGGGCAGGATGTACGTGGGGCTGCTGTGAGTCAGAGCCAACTTGACAGCAGCTAACAACAACCAATATGAAGGAATGAAGTTCTGGTAAATGCTAGGACATGGATGAACCCTGAACACGCCGAGTGAAAGAAGCCAGACACAGTAGGCCACGTGGAATATGATTCCATTTCTCTGAAATGTTCAGAGGAGGCCAATGTAGACAGTGAGAGGGTAGCTGAGTACTTGCCAGGGACTGGGGGGCAGGGAGCACGGAGTGACTGCTGGTGGCTACAGAGTTTCTTTTTTGCAGGGACAAAAACATTCTAGAAGTAGAAGATGACAATGGTTGGCCAACCTTGTGAATATACTGAAAACTCCTGAATTACAGAATTGTGAAAAAGACCAGACTCTGATGGAGACTGATGGAACCCTGAGACAGGCCGTTAAACACCCTTCATACCAAACCCATCCCCAGATACCACCTTTCGGCCAAACGATAGACAGGCTTACGCAGTGACCAGAACCCCAGGAACTGCTCCTCAGAACAACCTGCCACATCGAGAGGACACACATACGGAGGCCAAGAGGGCGGCCTTGGCCCCCAAACAAAGCTCAGAAGGAGGAAGGGGCAGCAGAGATGGATAAAGGAAATGGGGACCCAGGGAGGAAGTGGGGAGCGTGCTGCTCCCTAGAGGGGATTGCCGTTGATGCAGCGAAACACAGTGGGTACAGAGTGTTGAATGGGAAACTGCTCTGCTCTGTAAATGTGCCTGCAAACCACAGTAAAACAAAACCTCCACGAATTACACATTTTTAAAGGGTGATTTTGATAATATGTGCATTCTACCCAGAAGACGAAACCAAAAGCTCAGTAGGTTCCCTGTTTCCTTCAGGCCGGCCCCCACCCCGAGGCACCCGGCCAGCCCCGGGGGGCTGCATCCCGCCCCGCGGCCCCATCGAGCAGGTGTACCAGGAGATTGCCATCCTCAAGAAGCTGCACCACCCGAACGTGGTGAAGCTGGTGGAGGTGAGGGCGGGTTCCAGGGACGACCCTGGCACTCCAGCGCCGGCAAGACCCACGCGCCGCCCCGTGGTTTCCAGAAAGGGCCCGGTCCATGCCCACTGGCCCACTGCAGGGCTGAGCGGTAGTAGCTGCTCCAGGCCCCTTCACACCCACGTTGCATGCTATCCTCACCCTTCCCTGAGCCTCCGCTATTGTCCCCATTTCACAGACGAGGAAATCGAGGCTCAGAGGACTTGCACGAGCTTGCTCCTTGCCGTTTTGGCCTGACTTCAGAGCCAGTTCTCTTTGCGCTGTGCATGCATGCGCCCAGTCAGCAGACAGGAGCCCCTTCAGAAGGCTCGCTCAGACATTAAGAGGCTGTCAGTGTCGGCTGCAAAGACAGGAAGGCTTCTGGCTGCACTGTGCCCTACTTGCTCCTGCTTACAGATGCCGAGCAGAGGGCTGCAGTGAGCCGGAAGGGCTCACATTTTTCTCATTCAGGTAATCTTTACCGAGCCCCTTCTGTGTGTCAGGAGTCCCTTGGGGCGCACACAGTTAATGCCCTCAGCTGCTGACTGGAAGGTTGGAGGTGGAATCCACCCGAATGTGCCTTGGAAGAAAGGCCTGGCAATCTGCTTCCAAAACATGTGCCATTAAAAACCCCGTGGAGCCCAGTTCTGCCTGACACTCACGGGGTTGCCAGGAGTTGGCTTCGACTCCACGGCAGCTGGTCCTGGTACCTCCCTTTGGTAACCTTTCTGGGTGCTGTGGATCCTTGAGGATTGAGGCAAGGAGGTGCTTGTTTTCCAGTTGGCCATTTGGACCCCACACTCTGGGCATGTTCTCTGTTCCCGTCCTCTTAGCGTAGAAGAAGAGAGGCTCGGGCAGGTCCTATGCAGGCACACGCCATACCCTGGGGTGGCCTCTGCCCTGCTCATCTTTCTCTCTCTCTCTTGTTTCTCATCTCCGCCCGTTCCACGTGACTGCCACCAGGTCCTGGATGACCCCAATGAGGACCATCTGTACATGGGTAAGAGCTCTGTTCTTCTGACATCCACCCTTAGCCAGCCTTGCCTCCCAGGCCCAGGAGCCTCGTGAGGTGGCCCCTCTCCCAGCACCTGCCACAGAGGACACCACCCCTTTCTGGGCCCAGCTGGGCCCTCCATCAAGTCCCCAGGTGACATAGCTCCTGCATTTGAAGCTCAACATTATTTTCTGGGTCTCCTGTCATTTGCAAATATTTATTGAGCACCTAGTATGTGCTGGGTGCTCTTCTAGGCACTTAGGGTGCAGTGGTGGGCAAGAGTGGTGAAGGCCCCGCTCTTAGGAAGCCGATAGTCTAGTCGGGGCAGACAGAAACATATCGACTCCCTTGGGCTGCCGTATAGAGAACCACCAAATATGGTGGCTTAGAACCCCGAAGTGTATTCTCTCACAGTTCTGGAGTCCAGAAATCCAAACTCAGGGTGTCAGGAGGGCGTTGCGCCTTCTCAAGGCTCCGGGGAGGGTTCCTGTATTTGCCAGCTCTTGGCTTCTCAGCCTTGGCCTGTGGTGGTATCACCCCAGTCTCTGCTTCTGTCTCTGCACGGCCATCCTCCCTGTGTGTGTCTCTGTGTGTCCTATCCTCCTCTTAAAAAGACACCTGTCATTGAATGTAGGGCCCCCTCTACTCCGGGTTACCTCGTCTTAACTAGATTCCATCTGCAAAGACCACCTTCACAGGCTCTGGGTGGACATGGAGTTTGGGGGGACGTTGTTCAACCCAGTTCAGGAGTCAGTGGAGGGTTTTGAGCCAAGGAACAGATTCAGAAAGGAGCTCAAGCTTCAAAGAGGAGCTTCTCAAATGTTTTTGAACCCAAACAGCTTCACAGACACACGTTTTTAACATTTTGAGGCGACAGTGTGACAGGAGCCATGCTCACATTTGCTCTGTGATTCCAGCGGTTTTGAAAACCGAGACACAGCTATTTTTTACTTTGTAGCCACACCTCATGTGTGACAAGGACAAACACGGTAGCATGTGAGGCCAGGCAGCTGGGTATCAGGGAGGGTGTCCTGCCACTGCCAGCCAAACTCAGAAGGGAGAAACTGTAGTTGTCAAGAGGGGACTGTGAGTGGCTGAAAATGGACACATGTCACCCACGTCCCTCCTGCCGATTGATTTATGGTGCTTGGGGTGGGAGGAAGGCACCGGAGCTCCTGAAGCCACTCTACCAAGCAGAGGCTTCAATAACAGGCCGGAAATGCTGGAGCTGAGAGAGTTGGAGCTCCATGGAGCTCGAGCCCCTCCAGGCTTCTGACCACAACTGGAAGCAGTGGCAAGTCTGTCTTAACCTGGTTTTGCCCAAGCCTGGTTGATGACCCCAAAAAGAGAGAAGGGCTGGGAGTTAAGATCTTTTCCTGCTCAGAACCTGTAACCCTTCTTTTTGCCTGAGGAGCTGGCTCCTTCCCTCACCACTTCAGCTCTCGAAGGGCTCAGAAACAACTTTGATTTCTACCACACACTCACCTCCGTGCACGTAGGTGATTCCAAAACCATGGACAACTCCAGAGTCATTCTGCACAGGACTCTGAAGTCTGTTGTACTGCTTTACAGCTTTCTGTTCACAGTTAGGTTTGTCCCAGCAGAACACAATTAAAGTGGCCTTGCAGGGCTCTGAATGGTACTTCCCAGGTTGACAGGTCAGTGCCCTGCTAGAAACTTACTCTCCCTCTTAGAAAACTAGGTCAGCAGTGTGGGTTGCATAGCAACCAAATCTCTTGACTGGCAGAGTTGGAAACAACAGTGCCCTGCTCAAAGGTGGCAGCCAGCCACACTGCTGGGAATGTGTGTTTCTGTCCATAGTTCGGGCAGTAATCTAATCCCCTGCATCAGGCTTACTATGTCTCTTCCAAGTCTCGTTCTGGGGCTTTGACCTGCGTTTTTCCCATGCTAGTTACCGTTCTGCTTCACCCAAATCAAGAAAATCTGGGTCTGTTCCAATTGTGTTTCATCGGCTGTGACTGAACCAGGCGTGCTAAAACATGGAACCTGGAAACATGATGCTAAGTGCGAGGAGCCAGACAAGAGGCCACGTGTGTCTGACTCCACTTCTGTCCAATATCCTGAATAGGCACATGTCTAGAGACAGAGTGGGTCAGTGGTTGTCAGGGGCGGGGGCCGGGTGGTGGGAGGCGAGTGCTGCTTGTGCACACAGTCCTTTGCTGCTGCCACCGGTGCTTTGGAATCAGCTGGTGTGGTTGCACCACCCTGAGGATGCACAGGGAACATTCCGTGATTCATTTCATCACCGAAATGGGTGCTTTCAAACTGTTGATTTTATGTGATACGAATTTCACCTCAATTTAAAAAAATGCAATCTGAGAAACCCTGTGCTCTGCCTGAACACAGCTTAGCTAACACTTAGTGGAGTTGTGGGTGGTTCTCCTGCAGGCCTGGGAAGAAGGTGGTGTGGTGTGAAGCATTTGTGTGTCCTGCGTGACTGTGGGTCTCAGAGGGTCCTCTTCGGGGGCATGGAATGAGCTGACCTTGGAGGTGGTGGGGACGTCCCAGCCCAGCTCTAGCTCCAGGTCTTGCCTTAGAACGAGAGTCATGGGGAAGGGTGAGAGGGTCGGCTTGGCACGGAGGGCCGAGGGGCGGAACCACATCATCCAGCAGTGTCCAGCCATGGCCTGGCCTGGCCTCGCAGTTTGAAGAACACGGAAGGGGTTCTTGAGACCGTTCTGGCTGTGTCTCAGATCGAAACTTTCCTAAGGAGTAGATCCTCTCATCATTACTCTTTTCCTGGGAATCGGGCACCCCCATCATTACTTCTTTTCTAGGGTTCAGGCACTCAGTATCATTACTTCTTTGGGCCTAAATAAGTAGACTAAATAAGGAGTCTTACCCCTTCAACCTCTTCAGTGGCACCAGGGAGCTCAGGACCGGGGTCTGTCAGAGGGACACTGTTTACCGTCAGTCAGGGTGCCTGGAGCCTCTGCTGTGAAGCGGCTGAGGACGTTCCTTGAACCATCCTCTTCCTCCCCTACCTTCTTTTCTTTGACCAAAGGGTCCCCGAAGCACTCACTTAAAGGCCTTGAGCAAAACGCGTGTTTTCCTTAGCTGCCTCCAGACTCTAAAAAGACGTCTTGTTCCACCTCCTCTACTCTTTCCTCCTCTTGTCCTTCTGGGGACCGGAAGTGAAGCCAGGCTGGGTCCCAGGGACATCTGGGACCCCCGACCTTTGCCACTGTGGCTACGAGGACTTTTTCTCTCCCCGGCCCCAAATGCTGCTTTCTGTGCTTCTTGGTGTTTCTGGAGGTGCTGGCAGGAGGGGCGGGCAGGAGGGCGGATTCTCACTTCCTCTGTAACGGTTTACCTCCTCTTCCCTTACAGTGTTTGAACTGGTCAACCAGGGGTGAGTGTCCTGCTCTGGGTGTGCATGATGCCGGGCACTCCTTGGGGCGCAGTGCTGAGTGGGCGGCGCCAGGCTGGGGCTCTGCTGGTGAGAAGGGGGCCAGGGCCGCATGCATCTGGTTTGACTTTCACACATGTGTCCACCTTACAGGCCTGTGATGGAGGTGCCCACCCTCAAGCCGCTGTCCGAAGACCAGGCCCGGTTCTACTTCCAGGACCTGATCAAAGGCATCGAGTACTGTGAGTGAGGCCTGTGGGAGGTTGCTGTCGGAGGTGGTGGGCAGAGAGTGGAACGTTCCTTGTTTCCCTCCGGGTGCTTGAGCAGGTGGGGGGAGGCAGAGTTGTCTGATGCAGGATCCTGCCCAGCTGCACAGAGCCGTCTCGAGGCTGTGCCGCACAGAAACATCTCCCCGTAGCTGTCTCTGTGGTGACGTCATCCAGCTCTTTGTGCGCCCGGCACCGTCGGGCTCTGTGCGTCTTCCCTCATTCCTCCTGATGGCAGTGTGTCTGGCCCTGCTAGCCACCTGAACCTTTGTGTCCTGTGTGAGTGTAGGGCTGCATGACAGATGACCACAAACTAAGTGACTTGGAGCAAACAAATTGGTTCTGTCAGTTCTGGAGGGGAGAAATTCCAAATCAAGGTGTGGACAGGGCCATGTGCCACATGAAGGCTGTAGGGGAGGATCCTACAACCTTTCTTCCAAGGAGTGGCTGGTGGGTTTGAACCATCAGCCTTCTGATTAGCAGTAAGATACCTTAGGCACTACGCCACCAGAGCTCCCTTAAGGAGGGTGGTGGTGGTGTTGTTATGTGCCGTGGAGTCGGACCCGACTCATAACGACCCCTCCTTGGGTTTCTGAGGCGGTATCACTATGGAAGTAGATTGCCCAACCTCCTTAAAGACATTCCCCCCTTATCCTCCACGTGGGTGTCCAGCACGTTGGGAAAAGGGAAGGCTGGGAAGGGCCTAAGGCCATGGGAGCTATCAACCAGAGTGTACCAAGCTGTGTCTCTAGCTTGTGTGGGCCACGTGGAGACCCTCACGTCACTTTCTTACTGCTCCCACTGATTTCCTCCCCTCTACCCAGTACACTACCAGAAGATCATCCACCGGGACATTAAACCCTCCAACCTCCTGGTGGGAGAAGATGGACACATCAAGATTGCTGACTTTGGTGTCAGCAACGAGTTCAAGGGCAGTGACGCTCTTCTCTCAAACACCGTGGGCACGCCTGCCTTCATGGCACCCGAGTCACTCTCAGAGACCCGGAAGATCTTCTCGGGGAAGGTACCTGGGCTAATGGGGTGAGAATGTGGGTTGGACCTCCTCCAGAGAGGCGGAGTTCTGCCTGGACTAGGGTCCTATTGGTTATAAGTGGCAAAAATCCTACTCAGGCTGGTATAAATAGTGAATGCATTGACTCATAGCTGAGGAATGGGGTATGGTTGGCTTTGGGCTTGGCTAGACACAGGGACTCAAACAGGAATTGGTCTTTCTTCTTCTCCCAGATGTTTTCCTGTATTGGTTCCATCGGCAGACAAGTTAGTCACCAGCAGCTCCAGGCTACTATATCACTTTACCAACCTGAGTGGAGAAAGCATGCCTCTTTCTGAATGATTTCAGCAAAAATCCTAGGGTTGGCTCTGATTGGCTCAGCCTTGGTCACATGCCCATCCTTGAACCAATCACTGTGCTTAGGGGATATGTGGCTCTAATTGGCCAGGCCTGGGTCATTAGCCACCCCAGAAGTCAAGAGGCAGCTCAGCCCTGCCCCATCTTCATGGATGAGAGTCAAGCAAAGGTGGCTCCCCAATGGAAAACTGGAGGAGTGGGTGCTGGCCAGGCAGAGCAGTAGATGCCCTTCACAGTCCGTTTTCCCCACCTCACGCTAAGCTTTTTTGTTTCTTTCAGGCCTTGGATGTTTGGGCCATGGGTGTGACGCTGTACTGCTTTGTGTTTGGCCAGGTAACAGGTGGGGTGTCCTGTCTCCTGAGTGCTGTTGTGTGACTCCTCAGTTTAGAGCTGGTTGCCAGTAATCACCCTTGTGGGGAGACAGTGCTTATTCATCTGAAGGTTGCATCATCTTATTTCCACAGCTAGATCGAATGTGAAAATTGGTGCTTTTCCAAATACATATTTGTATATGGTGATCATTCTGTATGGGGAAAAAAAGAAAAAAACAGTGTAAGCTGAAGGTTTGGGCAGGTCAGTTGATTTCATAAGCAATAAAAGTGTGGATTTTTTCTTCATGTGCGGAAAGCTTAAAACACTAGTCCCATGAGGAAGGAAAAGCATTCGTAACAATGGGAGTTGCTGTGCTTTTTCTCCCAGCATTTGATTAGAAGATAGTCAACATACAGCAAAGTTGAGAGTAAACACCGGGTCCCCCTGCCTGGATTCTTCCATTAACGTTTTACTGTACTTGCCGTCTTACCTGTCTGTCCATCTGTCCTGCCCTCTTTGCATCCATTAGTGTGTCTTACTCTTTTGTTCCAGGGTAAGTTCCTTCTAAGTGTGCTAGGATGCGTTATTATCATTAGCTAGAGTTCAGTACTTGTTTGTGGTTTGCTGTTTTTTTGAGATAAAGTGTACATAGAATGAAACAGACAGATCTTACCTGCTCCACTCAAGGAGTTCTGTCCAGTGGATGCCTGGGGAACATGATGCCTGTCTCAAGTTACTGTGCTTTTAATGGATGGTTTTCCTTGGCCAGGGGTGGACCAGGTGGCTTTCTGTGACCTCTCCCAACCCTCTGAACACCCCGTGGATTGGTCTGTTTTTCCTGAGCCCCTGGGTCTCCTTGTCATCTGGGAGGTAGAGAAAGGAATAGGCTTTAGTCCTAGCTTCCTGCCCTCACCTGGACCCCTCAGCTCTCTGAGCTTTTGTTTCCTCCCCTACGACGTGAGAAGAATAATGGTTCTTTCTGGTGGTTTCTTGGAGGATTGACAGAAACCACTCAAATATTCTGTGACTCATCAGGTGTTGGCTGAGCTTCTACTTTGTGCTCGGAATTTCTTTAGATGCTGGGGAATTAGCTATGAGCAAGACAGGCAGAAGTCCCTGCCCTTTCGGAATTGGAGAAATTAAACAATAAGCAAATTAATATGGAGTATTTATATATTTAAAAAAAGGAGCTCAGGTGGCTTAGTGGTTAAAGTGTTTGGCTGCCATCCAAAAGGTCAGTGGTTCAAACCCACTCGCTGCTGCATGGGAGAATGATTTCATGAAGAGAAAATCCACATTTTCACTGCTTATGAAATCAATAGCTTCTGTCAACGTAGGGTTCTAATCTGTCCTTGTCAGGTCCATATGAGTGAGAATTGACTTGATGGCAGTGGGTTTGGTTTATTAAATTAGGAAACGTGATGATAAATACACAATATGAGCTACATATGTAAATAAACAAGGACATGTAAGAATGTCAGTGACAGCCTATCAGGGATACCTGCCATGATGAGAAATGATGTGGCGGGGTTTGGGGTGGGACGGGCTCCCTGAGAAGAGACCTGAACGAAGGGAGAGAGTGTTGGGGAGAACATTCTAGGCAGAGGGAATAGCGAATGAAATGTGAGTCTCAGAAATCCTCGGCTCAGGGTCTGGCCCAAGCTTGGCCCTGGCAGGTCACTGCAGTCGCTGTGTGTACCTTCTTGTTCTAGATACTGTTGTTGCTCACCTGGCAGGTGGGCGAGAAGAGACCTTGCTTTTGTAAAAAAATGAGTAAAGCGAAGCACAGCCCTGAGGGAGGGCGCAGTGCGGTTGGGCAGGGCTCTAGGCCTTCGGGAGCTCAGCGGCGTGACTTGCTCCTCCTACAGGGTGGCTGCGGCCACCGTTGACTACTCCGCCCTCTGCCTCTCCCCGCAGTGCCCGTTCATGGACGAGCGGATCATGTGTTTGCACAGTAAGATCAAGAGCCAAGCCCTGGCCTTTCCAGACCAGTGAGTGTTACCGTCCAACCCCGTGCCCACCTCGCCCCTGCGTCCTGCATCCGTCTCTCACCCTGCCATGTCTCCTGCAGGCCTGACATAACCGAGGACTTGAAGGACCTGATCACCCGTATGCTGGACAAGAACCCCGAGTCGAGGATCCTGGTGCCGGAGATCAAGGTACCAAGGGCCGCTGTGGCCCTGGGGTGTGTGCCCGGCTTGGCCCGAGTCCCACGTCAGTGCAGGCCCAGCCCCCTCTCCACAGCACCCACCCACCCACCCACCTTTGCACTGCTGCTCTCCAGGCCTGGCCCACTGGGCAGCTGGGGGCTGGCAGACTGGAGGGAAGGGGGAACTGGGAATTTCGGTAACTGATTGGGATGTAGGGTCTGTGGTCACCGGCTGGGCAGCCTGCACTCCCTCCAGTTGGCTTGGGGCCTCTGTGCACGCCACTCCCTGCTGCCAGCTCCCGGGCCTTCCCTAGACCTGCCCTTAGAGACATGGCCAGTCCCTTTGAGAAGGTGCACTGAGGGTGGGAAGAAGTTGCTGGAGGGTTTGACCTCTGACCGCTGCCTCCCACCTGGTGCATGAAGTGAGGAGAAATCCTTGTTCACCACCCCCCCATCTCACGTTTGACCCTTTAGAAATTTGCTTTGGAGACTCCAGGACACCTAGCTAACTGGTGTTGAAGGTGTCTTAGAGGGGGCAGCCCTAAAGGTCCAGGAGGTTAGGGCTTGGACCCCTGGGGAGGAGAGGACCAGAGTCTATCTGGGTCCTTCCCTGATCTCTTGCCTCTCCCTTGAGCCTCTCTGGGTCTACCCCTGTGAAATGGGGAGACTGCTACTGGCCAGAGCTGAGCCTCCTGGCGTTGGTGCTGAGGAGGGACAGGCTCTCCTCTAGTAGCTGTGCAGTCTGATGCCACTTCCACACACTTCTGAGACTACAGCCAGATAGGGATGCTGGTCCAGCATGCATTTCAGCCTCAAAGCCCCCTCCCATTCTGTCTCTCCGCCTTTCCCCATCTCCTCCCAACTCTCTCGGCTGCCTGCCTGCCTGCCCGCCCACCTGCTCTCTGCATGCCTGGCCGCAGGCCTGTGCATGCCCTCCGCCCCGCCTGCGGGCCTCTGTGTGCGCTCGTCCTCCGCGAGCTGGCCGCCGCCTCACCCTCCTGTCATTCGTTGAAGCTGCACCCCTGGGTCACGAGGCACGGGGCAGAGCCACTGCCATCGGAGGACGAGAACTGCACCCTGGTCGAGGTGACCGAAGAGGAGGTCGAGAACTCGGTCAAACACATTCCCAGCCTGGCGACCGTGGTAAGGCAGCACGGAACATTGCCTGAGAGCAGGGACAGAGCCCACTGCGGCCCAGCGGGGCCCAGCCGCAGCCTCTGCCAGCCCCTCACCCCCAGCCACCAGCCTTCTCCTGACCTTGTCGTAGCAGGCCAGGTGGCCCTGCCTTTCCTTAGCACTCCAGCTTCTCTTGCCAACCAGGTGCCAGTGCCACCTGGCGGGGGTGGCCCCTGTCCAAAGAGCCCAGGCTCCTTCTGGAAACCCAGCTCTTCTGCTTTCAGAGAGCGCCAGGGAGCAGGAGCTGCAGATGGCCAGGGAAGGGGCCAGGTGGTGCCAGAGCGCAGGCCTCCAGGGTGAACTCCCTCCTACCTGGTCGCACCTTCCCGCTCCAGAGTAGGGGGCCTGGTAGCACCCCTGCCGGGTGGGCCACTGACAGGGATAGGGGCAGGCACACACCCGTGTCACAAATGTCAGAAAGTCCTTCCTGATTCCTGCAAGCAGAATACTGCTTAGAGCCACTTGGCCCCCTTGTTATAAACCAGAATTTGGGTTAGACCCAGGAAGGGGGAGCTGAACATGGAGTCCTTCAGGCTTAACCTTGGAGACTCTGGGAATCACTTGTGTACCAAGGCCAGCCGGGGAGGGAGACCAGGACGCCAGAGGCCAGGGTCCACGCAGCAGTCCCCAGCTGGCCACCCCCACCATGAGAACCCCAGAAGCCAGCAGGCAGACAGGACCCTGGGACTCCGGCGAGCCTGCAGGGCCTGAGTGGCCAGCCTCAAGGACATGCCCCTTATAGGAGCCCAAATACTCGCTCCTTCTCTTCCAGCTTTGCACCCTTCCCGCCTGCTTCCCCATGCACTCTCTTCTTCCTCAGACCAGAGCCTCTGGGGCTAGACAGCATCCATCTTCCCCTGCCCCACTTGGGGCCTCTGCATGATCTCCTGAAAGCTCACAGACGCCACTCACTCCATTGTCACTCACTCCACTCATGGGCCCCGCCACCCGCTGTACCCACTCCCAGCACCAGTGGTGGGGGTGACAGCTGTGTCCGACTCCCAGTGCCCAGCTCCTTCCTAAGTCAAGGGGAGGGGGACGCTGAGTCAGGCCTCCACTCCCTCCCTTCTCCCCCGAGCTCTTGGCTGTGGGTTCTTGGGAGAACTTGCCTCACCTCCAGGTTATGGGTCATTCGTTACTCAGGAAACACTTCCTATTTGGGTATTTCTGTGATTTTATCTATTCTGTTGTTGAGAGTATACATAGGAGAAAACAGTCCCACAGTCTTTGCGTGGACGACTCAGTGACGTTGATGTTCTTGGTCGTGCTTGCGTTCTCACCCTCCTTTTCTGAGTTGTTCCTCCCTCGTTAATGGGCCCTGAGGTTCCTGTCTCATCTTTCCAGTTGCTGATGTCAGTTATTGTTTGGTTTCAAGAAGATTTCTGGGGCTATTTTTGGTTTAAGGTTTAAAAGTTACCTCAGGGCAATAGTTTCAGGGGTTCATCCACCCTCTGTGACTCCATACAGTCTGGAGTTCATGAGAATTTGAAATTCTGTTCTGCATTTTCTCCCTTTTGGTCAGGATTCTTCCACAGAACCCTTGACCAAAATGTTCGGTAATGGTGGGTCCATCCAGTTCTTCTGGTCTCGCGGCAAAGGAGGCAGTTGTTCATGGAGGCAATTAGCCACCCATTCCATATCCTCCTTCTATTCCTGACTCCTCTTCCTCTGTTGCTCCAGGTGAATAGAGACCAATTGTTATACCTTTGATGGATGCTTGCAAGCTTTTAAGACTCCAGGCACTACACCTGGTTTCTACCTAGGAGCTAGAACAGAAGCACTGAATATATGATTAGGCCAGCGAACGGAGATGTCTGTTAAACTATGACCCTCAACCTCCAAACGCAGGCTCTAATCCCATGAGGTGTTTGGTTGTACATAAGCAGCCACAGCAGCTACTCTTGTGTTGCTGCTGCTGTTGTAAACATCACACAAGGAAATACTTCTTGAACACCGAGTGGCTTCTGAGGTCTGTGCGGGGGGCTGGGGATGCAGCAGTGAGCAGGTTCGACCCAGCCCTGTCATCATGGAGGTAGACACCCCGCACTGATCCTCAAACACCTTTTCCTTTTTACTGTTGACAAGGGTGCTCTGAAGAAAAAGGATGGATCTCCTCACCCAAAATTTGGCTTGGGTATTGAGACTGATAGCCCCACATACATACCAAGAAGGTGTGAAAAGACATCTGACACAATGAAGCTTTCTGGGGAGAGCAGGAAGGCTCCCAAGTCGGTCCTGAAATGGATGGTGGCGGGAGGTGGCAGACGGGCTTAGGAAGTGATGGCGGGGTATCACCTTGTCCCAGGAGGATCCTCTCCCCCCGTCGCAGGCAGGGTCGTTCCCAGCCAGGCTGGGGGCCAGTCTGTGCTTAGCGTGGACGAGACAGTGGGGGACAACAAACAGCCGCCCTCCTCTGCGGGGCAGGAGGCTGGCCCAGCTTCCCCCCGGGTAGACGGGTTTCCTAGGACCTCTGAGCTCCTGTCACACCCATCAGCCAGTGCAGTGGCCATCGCCAGGGTCTTAGGCTGTTTCCTCAGCCCCTTACTTGGATGGATGTTTGCTGTCCTCAACTAAAATGTAGCCCCCTCAAGAAATCAGGGCCTTCATCCATGGCCCTGTGGTGCAGCCACTGTGGAAAAACAGTCAAACACAGACTTAGTGTCTGACCCAGCAGTCCCACTCCTAGGCATATACCCCGAAGAATTAAAAACAGGGCCACCCAGAAAGTTGTCCGTGGATGTTCGTAGCACTGTTACTCACGTAGCCAGAAGGTGGGAACCAGCACAAGAGGCTGTCGACTCACGAAAGGGTAGAGATAATGTGGCCTGTGCCTGCGACAGAACGGTATTCCACGGTGCAAAGGAATGACATAGTGATATGTACCGCAACCCAGATGAACCTTGAAAACACTGCTAGTAAGAGGCCACATAACTGGTTGCATTTGTATGAGATTCTAGAATGGGCAAACCCATGGAGCCAGGAAGCAGGTGAGTGGTTGCCAGGATGATGCAGGGGCAGAGAGTGAGTAGGGACTGGTACAGGTTTCTTTGGAGGATGATGGACATGTTCTGAAATTAGAGGTGATGGTTGCACAACCTTGTGAATAGACTAGATGCCACTGAACTGAACGCTGTTCAAAAGGGGCAGTTTTACAGAGTGTGAGTTAAAGCCCAGACATGCACTCCCACCCGCAGAATTACGCCTGAAAGCAGTGGTCGTGGTCAACGTCGGAGCGAGTCAGACTTGGTGATGGCCTTGGCTGCCATGCTCTGGCAGGAAGGACGGCTGTCCACACAGCATCCCTCAAAGACCAGCCATCAGCCACCAGCCCTGGGCATTGGCAGGGCTGGGGGAGAGCTGAGTGGGGACAGCACGAGGGAAGGGCCCATGACTCTCCCCCAGAGGCTGCATAGTCACCGGTGTCCCTGCTTCTCCCCCCAGATCCTGGTGAAGACCATGATTCGCAAACGTTCCTTCGGGAACCCGTTTGAGGGCAGCCGGCGGGAGGAACGCGCCTTGTCGGCACCCGGGAATCTGCTCGCGTGAGTCTGCAGGCCTTCCTTTCGGGGGAGCTGAAGGTGGACACGGGGAGCCCTGCCAGCCACCTACTCCAGGATGGCTGTGCTGTGTGGAAAGACCCAGACTGGACCCGCAGGGCACACTGGGAAAGCCAGGGCAGGTGCTGGCTTGGGCCACCCGGCTTGGCTCAGCCCCCTCTGTTAGTGGCCAGCCACTCCACACCACAGTGTCCTCTTTCCCAGGAGGTCTCAGGTTGAACCGGGGGCCTTTTAATAGGAAACATCTTGTGGCCCAGAAGCATGAGTGCTTGATGGTGGGAATTCAGGCCCGGGGCGAGGGGTGGACAGGGATATCTCGTTCCCAGGACTCTTGTGTCACGGCAGTGAGGTGTCTGTCCACTGGGCAGCAGCTCTGTCGAGCTGAGGTCAGAGCTCAGAGTGCTTCCAGGGTGGGGGATGGGCATCCCACGGAGCCCAGGGTCCCGTCTCACTGCCCTTTTCCCTCCCTCTGGCGGTTCCAGCAAAAAACCCACCAGGGAGCGTGAGCCCCTGCCTGAGCCCAAGGTAACGCCTGCTGCCTGTGCCGTCGCCTCTGCCGGGGCCTGGGGAGGGCAGCTGCAAAGCACGGGGCCTGTGCACCCAGGGGCACCTCCCCGAGTCCGGCCACTGCACCCAGGCCCAGCAGGGCCACAGATCCAAGACAAAAGCCAGGGACACCGAGGGGCTTCCGCCTCTCGGCGGCCGTGCATGCACACGCAGGGCTGTGGTGCATGGCGCTCCACTGGGATGCCCGGGGCCTTGCCTGCATCACCACCCAGCTCGTGCGGGCTGTCCGGGCCCCCTGGAGCTGAGCTCCCGCGTACTTCGTGATTCTACCGGTGTGCACGGAACAAGCTTTGATGAGGGAGTGAATGAATGAATGAAGGCTGTCCCCTCTGGGAAATCATGACCATGACCTTCCTAAGTGGGGACTGTGCCTGGTGCAGCTCTAGCTCCCTGCACAGGGGCTGTCCTCCACTTGTGCTTAGGCTGTGTCAATGGGTGGAAGCTTGGGCAGACAGCCCCACAATTCCTCCTGCTCCCAAGTACTTATGTGCCCCCAGCCTCGCCAGGCTTACCCTTCCTTGGTGTGTTGACACCTAGAAAGTAAGCCCCCTCCTGCCTGCTGCCTACTGACCCTGGGTACAGTCTGAATCTCGTCCTCACTCAGCTGTCCCTACGGGAGTGAGTGTTGCCAGCACTTCCAGAGCACAGAGTGAGAGTGTCTGCCCCGTAGTACTCGGGTGCCAAAGCCTGGCAATCCTGTAGCCACTTGTCCCTCAGTGCCCATGGCAGGGTGGTCTTCTAGGGTACTTCTCGGCACTTGAGCTCGCCTGACCCTCAACTTATAACTCCAGACAGCCGTTTCTCCCCTTGCACAGCTTTACTGAGATACAGTTCACATAGCAAACAATGCACCCATTCAAAGTGCACAAGTCAGAGGGACTTGGGTTCAGAGTCGTGTGTCCATCACCACAGTCGATTTTAGAGCATTTTCATGAAGCCAAGAAGAAATCCTGCACCTCTTAGGATCACCACCCTCCAAACCAAAAAAACTACACCCACTGCTGTGGAGTCGATTCCGGCTCACAGCACCCCTGGAGGACAGAGTGGAACTGCCCCAGAGGGTTTCCAAGGCTGTCACTCTTCATGGAAGCAAAGTCCAAACCACACCCACTGTAAAACCCCAACCACATCCACTGCTGTGGAGTCATTCCGACTCACAGCGCCCCTAGAGGACAGAGTGGGACTATCCCACAGGGTTTCCAAAGCTGTCAATCTTTACAGAAGCAAAGGCCAAACCACACCCACTGCCCTGGAGTAGATTCCTGGCTCACAGTGCCCTTAGAGGACAGTAGAACTGCCCCACTGGGTTTCCAAGGCTGTTAGCTTTAAAGAAGCAGACTACCTCATCCTTCTGCCACTGAGTGGCTGGTGGATTGGAACTGCTGACCTTTGGGTTAGTAGCTGAATGCTTTAACCACAGCACCACCAGAGCCTCCCCAGTTTCTCCCCCAACCCGAGCAAACATCTCCCCGTCTCTGTGTCTTTGCCTTTTCTGGACATGTCCTAGGATACAGCGTGTGAACTCTGTGTCTGGCCTCTTTCGTTTAACGACACGTTCTCCGGGTTCATCCATGTCATAGCATGTGCTGTAGCGTGGGACTTCATTCCTTTTTATGGCAGACCGCTGCTGTGCCGTGTGGAGGTCCATTGTGTTTCTCTGTTGATGGATGTTTGGGTCGGTCCACCTTTTGGCTGTGAAGAGTGCTGCTGGAAACATGTATAGGCGGCAGCCATTTCTTTTTTGTCAGGAGCGGGCTTGTGAAATGAAATGTATTTGTCAGCCACACCATAGGGGTCATGGGCTTCTTGTTCAGGATTATTGGTTCTTTTGAGAGAAAACTTGCTTGAGAGTCGAGCAAGCAAAATGGCAGTGAGGAATTAGAACCCCATCACCTGGGGCCTCAGAAGGCTGTGTGGTCCCTTCCAAGTTGTACCTAGACATGTCTGCATCTCGGTGACCAGGGGGCCTCCTTCCCTTAGGTTGGAGGGTCATGGGATGACAGGGAGGGAGGCCTAGTCCAGCCTTCTCTTCCCAAACTCGGCTTTGATTTTACTCCTGTTGGTCCCCGACTCACGATGACCTCAGGCACAAATGAACCAAATGCTGCCTAGTGCTGCGCCACCACCATGATGCCACGATCGCCTGCGGCCTGGGCCACTGTGAGCTGTAGGGTCTCCACAGGCTGATGTTCAGAGGTGGATTGCCAGGGCTTTCTTCCTAG